TACAAGTCCTACCTAACAATTCCTGCTTATATCTCATTGGTCATATCTTAACACATAGCCATCCCTTTCTGTCAGGAATTAAGGGAAATTTAATACTTTAGTCAGATATATTGATACCAACAACAATCAGGTTCTTTTAGTGAGGAAGGGGAGAATGCAGATTGACTGGGTATCTAGCAATCTTACCACATGTATTGGTACATAGTTTGCTTGGTTACAATTTTCACTATAACAAATAGTGCTGCAATGAATATACATGAACGTGTTTCTTTTCATTATATTCACTTCATATTTTTCTGTAATCCTTGATTTTTATTTTGATTGATTTATTAATTATCTTCCATATGTTACATCTTTTTATTATTTATAACTTCACCCATCTTTCATCTGGTCTTGGCTCAAAGGAGGAAGTATCCTGCTCTCTTTCAAGTGTTCTCTCTTTTTCCCTCTTTGAGCTTGGTGGTGAAAACAGAATAATAGGTTAAGATGTTGATGTTTGGAGGTAAAAGAAACATACATTGAGGGTGTCTCCAACCTGATCATCTTTATGAAAAGGCAAGGTACCAGGAGCAGACAGCACAGACTGGGGCTAACTTCTCACTCCATGACTTTCTAAGGGTTGCGACCTTCAAGGAATTACTTAATGTCTTTGTGCCTTAGTTTTTCCACCTGTAAAACGTTGTCAGTTTTTGCATTTACCTCATAGGGTTGGTGTGAGAATGGAATGTAAAGGACTTGGAAATAGTAGCTGGCATATACTAAGTGCTATGTGAGTTAACCGTTGTCAGTTCTCACCTCAGTGAAGTAAAAAATAGTTTCTGTGCAGTGTAATGGGAATGGAGGCACAACGAGAGGGCAGGTGGTGGTCAGAGTCCACACGGTCTTTGTGAGAGATTTGAGGTGGTCAGGGAGGTATGAATCAAGGGATTGTTGTGTAATGTTGAGAGGACATTTGAAGTCAGGCATCACATCACATTGACTGCTTAGAAATAGGAGTAAAGACACTGAATAAATAGGATTGACATTAACTGGGTAGGGTTGGCAGAAGGCCAAGTGGATAGAGCACTAGAAGGTGCTGATATGAGTTAGCCGAAATAATTTACCACAATATTCTGAGTGGGAAAAGAGAAACAGAAGAGTACTTCAGAAAGCCATTTCTCTTGAATTAAGGAGTCAGAGTGAATTGTGGATAGAAAAAGGATGTGGACTGAGAATAGATTTTCAGAATTCAGCCTTTTAAAGGTATCATTCTGGGTGATAGTATACTTTCAGGTGTGGCTCATGTGACTGGATTGCCGCAGTGAAAAAATGCCAGAGATGAAGATCAGGGAAACAGAGAGAATCAAATATTTCATTCAATTTAATTAACTAGGCAATTGAGGATCACCTAGTATGTGCTAAATGGGTTTTGTGTTGTGGTGAACAAGATATAGGTATTTCCTAACCATTAAGTTAAAAAACAAATATATATATATATATATATATATATATATATATATGTTACTTAAAAACAAACACATATATAAAACAATATATATATGTTTTTTAATTAAGAGGAATCAAAGTCATTTGTGTATACCTAGATACTTACCATTTCTTATGTTACTCATTTCTTCCTGAAGATCCGTGTTTCCCTCTATTATTATTTTACTTCAGCCTGAGGAATTTCCTTTAGTACTTCTTATGGTGTAAGTCTGCTTGTGACTAATTCTCCTAATTTTCCTTTTTTAAAAAATGCCTTTTGAGATTGGTTTTTGGGAGGATATTTTTGCTGAACATAGAATTCTAGAACATAGTTCATAGAACATAGAACTAAATTAATTTAGTTCTCTCTGCGTTTAAAAACGTCCCAGTGTTTTCTGGACTTCATTTTTTTTTTTTTTTTCTGCAGGAAGTCAGAAGTCATTTGTATCATTGTTAATTTATATGTAATGTACATATATTTCTCCCATGGTAGTTTAAAAATATATTTGGAAATGTTTGATACTCCCTACTTCAAAAGGTAGAGCTGAGTTTCCTCCCCTTGAATATGGCTCCAACTTAGAGACCTAATACTCATGAGCAGAATGGTAATAACTAACTTCCAAAGCTGGGTCATAAAAATGTGGTTCAGAGCACAAGAGCTTCTCTCCAGCTCTCTGTATTTCTCTCTTCTTGTTTTGAGGGAGGTCTAGCCACTATATCATGAAGACGCTTACACAATAGTAGGGAAGAGTCCACATGGAGAGGAACTGGGGACCCCCACCAAGTGCCAGCTTCAACTGCCAGGCATTTGAGTGATTCATCTAAGTGATCCACCTTGCAAGCAGATCCTCCAGTTCCAATCACGTCCAGCTTCAGAGGATGGAGACCTTGCCTGACATTTGGTTACAACAGCATAAAAGCTGAGGACTGTAACCTAAGCTGTTCCCAAATTCTTTCCCACGGAAACTGTCAGAGATAATAAATGTTTATTTTTTGAAACCATTGAATTTTGAAGTAATTTGTTATGCAGCAATAATTAATATTTTCTAATTCAAATGTCTGTGTATATTATATTCACCTCAGTGCTCCAATTCTTCAATTTGCTTTGCCTGTATAAGAGAAAGAAAAAAAATGTAAAATTCAAGGTGTACCACAATTGAAAAATCAACCTATAGAAGAAAATTACTAATTTGTGGTAAACCAATTTAAGAAAACATTTTGTCTCTTTGGTTTGCCATTGTAGCTTGAGCACCTTGTGTAATACTTGGTACATAATAAAACATTATATAAATATTGTTAAATGAATGAATCAATAAATTTGCTTCTCCAGGTTTGAAGCTTCTGGGGGACAAAAACTATGCCTTATTCATCTTTGTATCTCCCTCATATGGCACAGTTCTTAACACTGAACATGCACCATTCACTGTTGAGTTAAATTGAACTTAACTGAAATTCTTGTTGAAGTAAATGATCTGGAAATGGAAGTGAATAAATCATAGCAAAAAATTCATTTTAAAAGTTTATATTGTACATTGACTACTGGTGGTTTTCAAGCCCCATCAACCTATCACCAACTAACCAACAAAAAACCCTAAATTCATACTCTGTTGGTGCATGGCAGACCACATGGATTTTTATAATTTCTAACAAGACAACACATCTTCAGATATTTCTAGGGAATCTTTATGAAACAATATACAATGGTAGGAATTTTACTGTGCTTGGGTTATAAACTATTGCAAGCTGTTGAATTTAGTAGATTGTCTGCACAGGCTGAGTAACCTGTATTCCTCCTTATCCAGTTGAGCCTAAGCCATTTCAATAGAGCCGAAGTTTATGAGCATAGTGAATTTGAACACTTACTCACTCTCACTCACTCACTCATGCAACATATAAACTGAGCAATTCTCTTCCTCTTTGGGAGATAAAGCATATCCAGGGCGTATCCCAGTGGTTTGGAGCACAAGCAAGACTTCCTAGGTGCAAATTTCCAGTGGATCCCTTACCAGCTTTGAGATATTTGGTGTACGTCTTAACCTCTTGCCTTAGTTTCCTCAACTGTAAAATGCAGAAACTAATAGTACTTACCTCACAAGGTAGGTGTGGAGATTAAACACATAAAAATTGCCTGGCACATAATAAGCATGAATAAAAATCAGTTGTTAATGCCTTCGATGCCTACCATGGACCCTGGAACATTGCAAGTGACTTGTAACTTTTGAATGAATAAATGAATGAATGAATAATGAATAAAGTGAGAGTTGTGTCTAAATTATGTTTTTTTTTGTAATTGCATTCTATGATCATACAAAAGTTTTGATCACTCCTTTTTAGACATTCCTTATTAGACCAAAAAGAGGCAGAATATGTTCTTTGATAAAGGACATACAAGTAATATTGTCACATGATTACCTGCAGTTGGTGCATTAGTCTGTTCTCCCACTGCTATAAAGAAATACCAGAGACTGGGTAATTTGGAAAGAAAAGAGGTTTAATTGGCTCATGGTCCTGCATGCTATACAGAAAGCATGGCAGCGTCTGCTTCTGGAGAGGCCTCAGGGAGCTTTTACTCATAGTGGAACGCAAAGCGAGAGCAGGTGTCTTACATGGCAGGAGCAGGAGTGAGAGAGAGAGGGGAGGTGCCGCATATTTTAAACAACCAGATCTCTTAAGAACTCATTCACTATAAAGTACCAGGTGGGCACGGGGCTAAACCATTCATGAGAACTCTACCTCCATGATCTAATTACCTCCCACCAGGCCTCACCTCCAACACTGGGGATTACAATTCCACTGGAATTTGGTGATGAGGCAGATCCAAACCTTATCACCTGGGAATTAAACACACACGCTTTGGGCTAAGGGGAATTCTGATTTTTCATTTTAATCCCTTCATAAACGTGGACATGGCAGACAAGAGTCAAAAACAGAAAGGAGCATGGAGACCCAGACTTCCAGGTATGCCTTACTGAACTTGTAGAAAGTCCATTCTAACTGGCAAACAGGGCCAAGCTTCTCCCCCTTGACTGCGGGCAATACCTGGGGAAAGGTGAGGGGTCTGATTAAGCCTTTGCATCCCCCAAACGTGGCAAAGTGCCTGGCAGAGAGTAGTAAGAAAAAAAATTGTTTTTAAGGAATGAAGTATTAGGAGATCAAGGCAACTAAGGCGGCTTTGGGTTGAAATATTCTACCTTTGGTCACAAACCTTCCACCTGTACCTCCAATTCCACTTACGTAGACTGCTCAGTTCCAAAGCCTTCTCCTTAGAAAGACTTCCTTTCAATGCAAGCAGCAGAAAAAAGCGACCCAGCTGAAACTTCTGGAGTTATGGGAACGCCTCTTTCCTCTGTCGCTAATGGAGGACTAAGATGGGACTGGGAGCAAAGGAGCGTCTCTGAATGGCGGGGCAGTTGCAGCGTCCCACTTGGCAAGAGTTCTTGAATTACCTCCGCCCCCGCCCTGACCAGCCTTAAACATCAAACTAGGAAATTCATCTTTCGGCAGCAGCGCTGAAGGAGTAACCAGGCGTCTCCGTGATGGGCCCCGGAGACTTCCGCCGCTTCAGAGAGAGTGTTTCCCAGGGTCTCCAAGGACTCCCAGGTAGAGCGGAGCTTTGGTTCCCACCTCGTCCCGCGTGCGGCTTCCCCGGGGACGGCAGAAGCACGGACGTCCAGGACGAGGCCCTGGCCGCCAGCCCGCTGCTGGAGGACCTCAGACGACGGCTGACTCGCGCCTTCCAGTGGGCGGTGCAGCGCGGGACCTCGAGGCGCCAGCGGGAGGCGGCGGCAGCGGCGGCGGCGCGGGAGGAGCAGAGCTGGGCGCGCGTCGAGGCCACCCTGGCCGGGCTGCGGGCGGAGCTGGTGAGAGCGCGGGCTGGGCGGACGGCTCCCAGGACTCCCTCTCCCGGGACCTCTCCTCGGGCTCCAGAGCAGCTGGCCGCGTAGCCCACCCGAGACCTTCAGGAGAGCGACGGGAGCTGTTCCCAGAGAAGGAGCCCTGGCCACTGCGGCTGTTCTTCCCCGGTAGGCCAGCTCAGGTCTGGACACGGCGTTGACGCCCCCGCCTCTCCAGCATCGATGGGAAGGAAAGGGGCCCTACAGGACCCGTGGTGGTGGTGGTGGTGGCGGCGGCGTGGTGGGGGGGTGTGCATACCCAAGATGTCTCCTTCCCAACCGTTTCTATAGCTTTCTGCCCTGTAGGGAACTGTGACTATGTGTAAGTATGCCTCATGGAGGAGGAAACTTCCATGAAATAAACTCTCTTGGGACTGATGGAGAGTGTCCATCAGTAAACTCTTTCTTTATACCCCGCAAGTTTTATTCTTATCTTTCCCGTGGGTAATAATTCAGAAAACTGGAAATGATAAGGCATTTTGTAAAATTGCCCAGTTTTGAACATTACACAGGTTATGTCCGAATATTAAACAGGAGGGTGTATAGGTATTTTAGCTTTTTTTTTTTAAATTAAAAAAACTGGAAATTAGTCACGATTTGAAAAGGACACAATGAATAGGAGCAATTCAAACTTTAAAATGGTGCTGCCTAGGAAAGTGTGCAGTGGAGACTTGGAAAATTCTTCTCTTTTGCACTGATTACTAATACACTAATACAATTAACCACTACTTTAGAACTGATCCAACCATCAGTAAATTGTCTTAAGAATGTTATTGCATTTCTGAGTTTAAGAAGAACAGTATTAGGCCGGTGCTGTGGCTCACGCCTGTAATCCCAGCTCTTTGGGAGGCCAAGGCAAGGAAACACCTGAGGCCAAAAGTTCGAGACCAGCCTGGCCAACATGGTGAAGCCCCGTCTCTACTAAAAATACAAAAATTAGCTGGGCATGCGGGCTGGCGCCTATAATCCCAGCTACTCGGGAGGCTGAGGCAGGAGAATCACTTGAACCCGGGACGGAGAGGCTGCGGTGGGCGGAGATTGTGCCATTGCATGCCAGCCTGGGCGACATGAGCGAGACGTCTCCAAAAAAAAAAAAAAAAAAAAAAAGACAATAAATATCCTAAATTCCTTGTCAGATTCAGATTGTTAACATGCGTTAAATTAGATTTACTACCAGATTTACTATCTGATCCAACAATGTTGAAGAAACACCTGGTTTTCACCCTGAGTTTAAGCGGTGAGTCTGAGCAGCAGGGCAGCCGGAGCCACCTCATTCGGCCCCTGGAATCCTGTGCTATGGGCCAGGATGCTAAACTGGAAGGCTGAAACCTGGGGCAGCCATCTCTGCATCGTAATCTTGGGATCTGCCGGTACCCCTTCCTGAGCCTCAGGGGACTCGCATTTCAATCAGATGAGGAGATTACACTGAATAAGCTCTGAGACAGCTTTCAACCCTAACATTCTAGTAAGTTGTTAGGAGCTTTAGACAAGTAATTTATGTTGGGGGTGGCAATAAAATCTGGCGAGATTGGGGCATTCAGGGTGGTATGGCTGTAGACCGCTGGTGGCAATAAAATCTAAATAGATGAGGGCTCAAATACCAACATTACCATTTACAGGTTCTGCGAACACTTGCTGGCCCTACAACTTTGGGATTGGTACTTAGCCAGTTTGAGTTTGTTTACCCATCTGTAAAATGGAATTTATAATCTCATAGGATTCCAGAGCTTATGTGAGATAATATTCTATGAAATGCTTAGACCATGGGTATTTTTAGTGGCTATTATTGTAATGATTACTATAGACCTTGGACTCGGACTGTACCAAAAAAGAACAGATACATTCCTATCAAAAAATCAGGACTTTTTCCAGGAGGGAACCAGCGAAGTTTACACATACACAAATAATGTGTCCTTGGGTTACAGACGATGGTCAACATCTTGGTCAATCATTTTATCCTGGTCATAAGGAAGAGGCACACGAGTGTGGATACTGTACCTTAATATCATCACCACTAGAAGACTTAGTTTTCAATTTTTGGCTATTAACTGGATTTTTACGGAAACTGACATACATTGCTATACAAATGTACATGTATCATGTATTAGGATAGCATTTGTAAGGAACAATGATGAGCAAATTTAATTTAGAGTTGTGTTGCTATTTATACTATTTTTTGTTGTTTGGGTTTTCTTAGTGAGAATCATTGATTTCTAGGGTCTGTGAGTGGATTTTAGGGGTTCTATATACCTAAAATTGTATACAAAATGTTTGATGTGCATATAGTTTTTCATCAGAGAGGGTTCATAAACTTGCATCAGATTCTCAAAGAGATCCACGATGAAAGAAAAGTTAAAGAACCAGTGATGTTTAAATTTCTTAAGTGTGAATTATACATACTTAATTTAGATGGCAAATCATTACCAGTAATTTTTCTTCTTGATTCTTGCACGAAGGTACAGGATGGATATTCATCAGTTAATTCACTCACTCACTTTTATAACAAACACAAAGAGAACCTACTAGGTTGTGTGCCCAGACAGTGCACTCTTAGTTGGCGATACAATTATGGGTAAGATACAGTCTCTACCCTCAAAATCATCAGTCTGGTCTGGTCAGCGTGTTCTGAGAGACACTTGTACAGAGTGCTGTGGATGCACAGATAAGAGGCAATTACGTCTGCCCATGCAATCAGGGAAGGCTTCTCAGAAGACCTGGCGTTTGACTGGGTTCAGCAGAGAGAGGTGGCAAAGGGCATCTTAAACAGAAATGGGGACAGAAAGAGGTGTGCTTCAGCTCAGCGTCTGTTTAGGTACTGGCAAGGTTTCTGACCAGCTGCAGTGGGAGCTGGCATTGGAAAGAGGGCCAGGAAAGGAAGCTCAAAAGTAGAGCAGGATTATAGAGCATCTGGGCTACCCTAGAGAGCTGAAGCTTCCTGCAGGCAAGGTGCAAGGGTTTTTTGGTGGTGATTGTATGGTTACTGTTACTGCTTGTTTGCTGGATATTCACTTATTTTATTCTTTGCTAATTCTTGCTGTCAGAAAAATGATTCTAGGTGCTGCAGAATGGAGAAGAATGTCTCAGAGAAAAACTGATAGTTTTATCCAGTAGCTTTATTTTGCAAATTAGGTGACCATGAGTATTTACTTTTTACCAACACATTGTCCTGGTTCATCCTGGGGTGGTTTCTACTGACAAGCTGATGCTTTTTTAGCAGAGAGAACAAATTCCTCATGAACTGCATTAAACAAGCCCTAGCTGAAGAAATTTGCAAGTAGTTGATCATTAGTTTTCAGTTATAATACAAAGATTATGTTGGACTAAGCTTTGCGGGACTGTCCCCGGGGTAACATGCCCGAGAGATCTTTTTTTAAACACATGAGGACCTTCATAAACTCCCATTGGAGGATGGTATAAATCAGCCTTGATATCTAACAGATTTCACTCCAGAGTGAAAAATGTTAGATTATATAAGTACACATAACTATACATGTGCCTCTAAGGTGTCATTAAATGCTTTTGCTCAGCAGGTAGACCATTTAAAATCCTGAAAACTTGAAATGGTAAGTAATCAAGTAAATAGGCACAGATTCTGAATACTCAGGTGGCTGTAGGCAGTTATCCTGTGGCTCAGAAGGCACATAAAGAGAAATGATTTCATTGTGGATCACATGCTATTGCTTGAAAACAGCCTTCGGTACACAGGTATTTTTCATAGGGACAGCTTTGTGCATCAGCTGTTTTTGTTTTCATTTCAAGGCCATTTCAAAAGCTATTTATATATCTGGATTTTACCTTGTCATATAGAAAGTCAGTTTTATAGCCAGACCAAACAGAACTGGAGAATAAGATGAGAAATACATCTTTCTTGATATCTTAATTTCTTTTCCTACAAACTTATTTCTTCTGTGTAGTCAAGAGAGTGGTTTCATTTGATCTGTATCTCATGCTAATAAAAAGTTTTATTTTTTCCTAACTTTTAGGTGGAAATGCATTTCCAAAACCACCAGCTGGCTAGAACTTTACTGGACCTAAACATGAAAGTGCAGCAATTGAAAAAGGAGTATGAACTGGAAATTACATCAGACTCTCAAAGCCCAAAGGATGCTGCTGCGAATCTGGAATAAAGAAATGCACACAAGAAGCTCTTGATCCTAAAACTAACACAACCCTGAAACAATTCTGATGAACACATTATGCTTTGCATAAGTTTTGAGGGGCAATTTATAGACCCAAAACTTAGGTGACAGGGGAAGGTGACAGAAAAACATCCAAGAAAGGGGAGAGAAAAATGATGTATTACCAAGTTTTAAAGTTATTTGTTTTGACTGGGACATAGAAGTAAAATATAACTCTCTCTCTCTCTCTCTCAAGGAATGCTTTAATGCCAACTTTTGGTATTCCACCTTGTGTCACCTGACCTTTCTGGCATTGCCTGAGCTTTCAGTTTGTGCTTGTTTTGCTTTACTTGATTATTCTCGGTTTGTCTGTCCAGCGGCCTGCCCTGCTTTTTGTGGATAATTATTTCTACTTGGATTCTAATCATGCCGTTTAGGTGGTCTGTGACTAAGGGTACTCCACCTTCCTGGATGTAGTCATGCAGCTCAGGGCAGGCCGAAGAGTTTGTCCTTAGGATTTTTTGAATGGGCACTAAAAGAGTAGATGAATATTTCTGCCAGTAGACGCCGTGGATCAGGGGCTTGGAAGCTGCTGGTGGTCACCATGTGAGAAAGTTCACACACCCTAATGGAGGTGACTGAAATGGAACCACTAAAAGCACAAAAGGGGAGGGAGGGAGGGAGAGTGCTTCGCTTCCTTGTTCCTGGGGTCAAGTTGTGTAAGACTCCAGGCCTTGCTCGTTTATATACATGAAACATTCTGATATCCTTTTCATAAAATCTCTTTTTGCCTAAGTAAATTCAAGCTGGAGTTTCATGACTTGTATCTAGTGTTCACAATTAACACAGTTGTTCAGTTTTAGGAGTTAAAATGGTTCTTACTATTGAGTTGGACTATCTAACTGTACCCGAAAAGTGCTGTCTTTTTAATGCAAACAATAAAGTTAATAAAAAATAGTTGCAGATCTAAGTGATATTTATAATGGTTATTGTCTGCAAAACACAAATTTATAACAAGCTATGTAATTTTAATATTTAATAAACTAAAAAAATCAGTTCTTGAAGACAAAGGAGAACAGAAGAGACACAGTTTTTCTCTTTTTAAAATAAATGCAAGAGCCAGCATGGTGGATCATGCTTGTAATTCCAGCAATTTGGAAGGCCGAGGTGCACAGATTCCTTGAGCTCAGGAGTTCAACAACAGCCTGGCCAGCATGGCAAAACCCTGTCTCTACTAAAAATACAAAAATTAGCAGGGCGTGGTGATGCTCACCTGTAGTACCAGCTACTCAGGAGGCTGAGGCATAAGAATCCCTTGAACCTGGGAGGTGGGGGTTGCAGTGAGCTGAGATCATGCCCCTGCATTCCAGCCTGGGTGACAGGGGGAGATTTGTCCTCAAAAAAATAAAAATGAATAATAATAATAAAAGAAACGCAAGTTGTTTTATGTGAGGATCTGAGAATCATCTGGACTAAGTTTAGTTCGTCCTTAACTTTTTGTTTCCACAATAAGTAAAGTATTCTAGCCCTTTGGTACTTAATTGCCCTCTGTATAAATGAGGAATTCCCAAGTCCACCATTGGCAGATGACCAGTCGCCAGCATCTCGTTCCTTCAGATGTTTTGCATATGAGCTCTTGGCCTATAAATATACGACTACTATATTAAATTTCATTTATAAACTGGATTTTCTGTTTATTTCTTCCTTTGAATTTTATAGAAATTTTTAAGAAAGGGTTGGCACAGTTCCTTGTGATCTGTTTTTTGAAAAAGCTTCTACTTAACCTTTGGGACAATCATTCTCAAGTGCATTTTAAAGATGAACATTTATAAATCGTTGTAATTTTGTGTTTGAAAAATACTCCAGGTGATTCATTATATGAGCTCAATTCCTTACAGAACACAGACTGCTGACGTTGGTTAATATTAATGTCATTTAAGTATACTGATAATATATTGGGGATCAAAAGAAAATTAGAAAGTATGAAAATTGATGCATTGTTTTTCAAATTTTTAGGTTAAAAAAAGGTCCATTATTATACTGCAAAGTTTTGGTCACTTTTCCCCACATCTTTCAGTGATGAACTTTGGATCACTGTATTTTTTTAGGGTGACATATACAGAAACAGAATGAGAAACTCCTTTGTGTCCTACGTGTCTTGTTTTATGGAAGTTTGAAACAGTGAAGGTAGCCTCTGATATTAACTGTGCCATGTGGAAACACAATGGGAGCTTGATACGTGGGACACTATCATTATTAAAAGTTTTTATTTTCTTTCCTCTCCAGTATGCTATCTCTTGCCTTTTGTTTTTAAAGTAGCAGAAGCCAGATGATTGTCATTATATAGTTCTTTGCCATGGCGCTCAGCTGTTGGTTGGTAGCTTGCTGGCCTGGCATCCTGTCAGCTGGGACCCATGATAGAGCAGATAAACTTTTCTGAGGGCTGAGGCTGCCCTGCAATCTACATTTCCCCTCTTTCCAGGATTTCTAAATAAGCCAGAGCAATAGTGTGACATTTTGAAGATCTATGAAATGGGAGCAACCAAACTAGTGCCAGCTGGAGGGGAAAATGAGAAAATAATTATAACCTAAATTATGCATCGGGGAAGCAGTAGCTGGATAAACTGAAGAAAGTAAGATGTTCGTAACAATAGTGGGAGAGAGAGGGCCAAAAGAAGAGACACTAAAAACAGTTTTGTGAGGAAAATATTGTGCTTGAGTTTTTCAAATGACACAACTTCTCGCAGCTCTAATTATAGGGGGGATTAAACCACGTTAGCAGGAAATGGGCTTTCGCCATATGGTACTTGTTTAGCACCTACCAGTGAATAGGTGCCAAATTAATTATGACAATTAGAAGCTTTGCCTAGGTTGTTAGGCATTAAATTCCTTTACAGGTGGCCTGGATGAATCCGCGTTTTGTTTGGCTTGCCAAACGACTTCTGCTGTAACAGGTGCTTCTGCAACTCCCAGCCTGGGGACAGATCAGAGTACTCTGTGGGTAACCCCATGATGGCTGAGTCTAAAGCAGTGTAATTATAAGAATCTCATCTCCCCTGCTCCCTTCCTGGCAGGGCCCAGGGCCCCGGCACAACCATCAACTCTATTTACCGCTGTAATCACTGCCAGAATCCCTCTGTGCCTGGCACCTGGCACGAGGCCCTCCAGTGCCAGCTGCCTTCTCTCTTGGTTGCTTTCATTGCTGCTTCTGCTGCCATTGCTGCAGCCTCTGTTTTCTTTTTGACCATGTCAGTAATGAAGGTTATGGTAGGGAGAGAAATACAGTTAAGGCGACAGTTCAGTCTGTACCACCCTGCCGACCTCTCGTCTGGCAACCTCTTGTTCCATCTAAGCTGAGTGCTGGGCAGTAGGACTTGGATGGGTGGACACCTACTACAGTAGCCTGTGTCAAGCACTGCTTCTCAGGGGGCTGTGTACCTCTCATCTGCCTCCTGATTCTGGCATTGAGGCATATTGGGGGTGAGAGGGCTTCACCTCTTCCTTAGGAGCAATAATGTCATAGTCTTTCTCTTCTGACACCAGTACAAGAGGGATCTGTTGAAATGTAATAATGATGAAACTAACAAAGGAATCAGCCACCACTCCTGTAACAGTCATTGTTGCAAGAACTGTGCATGTATCAGCTTATTTTATTCTCATAGTGACTTGTAAGTGCGTAGGACCTGTTTTTGGAGCTATTTGAACTTGGTGTTTAGTCCTGGCTCTGCCACTTACCAACTATATGACCTAAAGCAAATTGCTTTAAATTCTTTAGGTCTCTCCAAGGAAGTCAGTGAAAATGGGACCTGTCTTACCTAAATCTTAAGGAACTCAAATCAGGTTTGGGAGAGTGAGTTAATGGCGAAGGAACTTCTACATCAGGTGTTTATTTCATATCTTTAGTTTCATATGATCTTACTACCTTTTTGGACTGATACCTTCCCTGCGCCCCGCTCTTCCTCGTATCTTTATGTCTCGGTGACGCTCTGCCACCTGCTCGCTGTTATGTTGTTGTCTCGGAGTTCCCTCTGTGGATCGAAAAATTGATTTAGCAAACATGGGAATAGGCAGCAGGAAGATATAAAGTGAATACTCGCTGCTACTTGCCAACTCCTGAATCTGCCTGGCATTCAGCGCTGTGTGTTTAAAATGTAATTGTACCAACAAAACTGTGAGGTTGGAACTATTGCACTTCCCGTTTTACAGAAGAAGAGAGAGTGTTGGAGAGGTGATGTAATTCATCACGATCCACTCAGCTAGCAAGTAGATGTCAAGATTCACATCTGATGTTGGGAGTGGTCTGGCTATTACTGGGCCCCTCCCAAACTAATGGGAGAGACCTTGCACTAGTGAATAAATTCAATATTATAATAGAAGAATGTATGAATTGCTAGGAGGGATGCTTTTTGCAGGAGTCAGACAATGAAGGTCTCATTGAAGACACGCCTCCAAATTATTACTTGATGTCTACCTGGAAAAAAGTCCTCACATCCTGGAGTCTAAACTAGTTGAGTGATGTTAGATAAATTACTCTACCTTATTTAGCTTCATTTTTTCTCATTTGAAAATGAGATAGTAGAAATGCCCCTAAAACATTCCTCTAACTTAGAGCCTCTATTTTATTATAATCCTGCCTGCTTGTAACTGGATCCTTCAACCACTTGCCCCTGACTTGCCGAGACTTTCTGATTCCCATTATAGCATGATGGACAGCTGACCATTTGTCCCTGGCCCCTGGCAATGACGTAGACTCTCCTGGTCTCAAACCTTACCCTGATCACAGTGTGAGCTGATGCAGCCTTGATGATGACAGAAAGCAATTCTTGTCACTCTTGGATGCCCCTCTGCCCTTTTCACCCACACCATGACTGCAGCCAGGGGGAAATGTCACATTTGCACTTCTGAGGCAGACAAGCATCACTTAGAACTGTTGCGTGTTATTATTTTAGAGGCAGCCTGCTGTGGCAGACGCTGCTGGCTGAGAACTGCGCCTTGTGCAGCCTCTGTGGCGGGATGGTGGAGTTGGAATCTTGGCTCCTTCACCTCCTCACTATGTTACTTAACACTTCTACAGTTCAGTTTGCTTATCTGTAAATAATGAATCACACTTACCCCAAGAGTTTATGAAGATCTAGTGGACTAATACATGTGAAGTGTTCAGAACACGCAAATAGTGGCTTATTATAACAGCCAACCCAACAAGTGTTTTGCTCATCCTTCTTGCCTGTTGGAAGTGATCACTTCCAAGACAGGGACAGAGATGACAGCTTCACTTTTCCTCGTCCCTCTTGCAGTTCAAGATGGCTTTAGAATCCAGTCGTGTCTAATAAAACATAAAGGGAAATTTACTGGGGGGGGAGTTCTGGAAAACATTTTTTTCCCCTTATGTGAGGAGAAATAGAAGGTAAGCTGTCTTCCTCCCTACCTCTTTTTTTTCTTTCTTCCAGATATTTTCACATGCAATTGTAAAACTTGCCCATGCTGCAGCCACCCTGTGACATATGTGTGAAATACAAGGGCACTTTGAAGATGAGAGGACAGAAAGATGAAAAGAAGCAGTGTCTTTGATCACATCACTGAGCTTCTGACCCAACCCAGCAACTGCCTACCTATGGCTAGTCTTGTTCTGCGAGACAATAACAATAATAAGAATCCAATTGTTTGAGGCACTTTTATTGGGGTATTCATTTCCTTGCACTTGAAAGCACCCGGATAACTTAATCCCCCAAAACCTCCTGGCACAAAGGTTTGTGGTGGTGTATCTCTGAGGGCAACTGTACATATCATCAGAAACTATGGGCACAGGACCCCAGAGACATCATTTGGTTACTTAAATATTTCATACATGCCTTTGGCAAGGATGAATTCTATGCGACAGAATATCAGTTAATGCATACTGAAGGAAGACTTGTTGGAGAGGAATCCTCTCCTGAACCCCGGCGAGACTCTAGAATCCTGCGGTAAA